TGGATCAAAGTCTTGTAAAGTATATTCGTCGTACACTGCAGTTTCTAGCGTATTTTGCAAACGTTATTCGCGCGTCGTCGTCGAACGCAAGTCGCTGCTAGGCCATTGGCTTGACGACTGGACCATCGACGAGGGTGGCGCGTCTTGGAGGTCCCAATACCTGGTAGAACGGACCACTGCTACTACACCACAGCTGCATATTGTCAAGCTCCCTCGTTGATTGATGGTGTCCCCGTTGCGCCCACACATCCTCAGGTCTTGGACGCCGCGCGGGTTCGGTTCGTGGGCGAGTAGAAAAATGGAGTACATTAGTGAACCGGTAGATTTACCATGTAAGTTTTACTACTTCATGGATGATCCATTCCGGGGTCATCCAGATGAGCCAGACGAGAAAGAGCAAGCTGCATGGACTCAAGCGTGAAGGGTTGTCCATCTGAGGCCGGTCCACAAAAACGCAGTTATACTTGCGCAGCACGTCTTTGAGCTCGAACATGCCGCCGTCGGAGGCGTCCGCCGAGAGCGGCTCGTCGACCTCGGCCTCATCGAGCTCGTCGTCGGAGGCTTCCGACGATAGGTCATCTTCATCTCCATCTTCTTTGTCCGTGTCGCCGAGGTAGAGCTCCTGGAAGGCGACGTCATCTTCATGGCTGCTTCTGTTGTCGGCGCCGTGGCGCAAGATGCGATCGGTCATTGCAGCCGGCGGCCTGAAATGGAAATGAAAAAGCCCTATCCGGATCGACGAGGTGACAAAAAGGAGGCCTTCTCGCCAAAGATCCAAAGATCGCCATCCCAATTCGGTCACAGCCTTGTCCTAATCCTAATATGACTAGAATCACGCCACCTTCTTGCCTTGAACTAGGGCGGGCGCCCCAAAAAGCGCGGGAACCAAACAACGGACGCGCCCTCGATCTCGTGGCAGGTCGTTGCCACCGTCTTTGAAGAGGAAGTCCAGCGCGCGTCGAGAACCAGACGCTTCGCGAGCGCCTCCACGAAATGAACCAATGGGTCGCGTTACCTTCATAATTACACAAAGACTTCGCATACGTAGAGACTAGCAATCTCCTTCTTCTTCATTCGCTCGCCGGTCCGTGGCTGCGCAGGCGGCGGCGCGGGGGCTCGTCTGGCTCTTCTGTCGTCGCCCTACGACGCTTGTGGCCGCGGGTGAGGCCCGTGACGACACGGTCGGTCAACTTTCCAGGCGTCGCGGTCGGCGGCAAAGCTACGCAGTTTGTCAAGGTCCTCGGGAGACGCCAGCGACTGAGGCGGCGTCATCGACTCGAGGTCGCGGTGCAGGACGATCGGCAGCGTGATCTTGGTGCGTCCTAAGAAACGGGGCGCCTCGGATGGGGCAAAGAAGCGGTCCGCAGCCACGTTGGCCGGGACGTCGCGACCCAGTCGCAGCACGTGGCCTAGAAGGCGCCAACGCTGGCGGGCAACGATCGTACTCAACGGCTCGTTGTCGCAGCGTTTGTAGAGCGCGACGTCGGCAAGCGTGTTCGGGTGGAAGATCCCGAGCAGACGACGCAGCTGCCGGCGATGGAAGCTGTCAAGGCCCGCGAGGCTGGTTGATATTCTAGAATAGGATAGTGGGTGAGGATTTTCAGATAGTGCTCCCTCAGTAATAGCCAAATGGCTCTTCGGCAGTATACCCGTCGAGCGAGATCGAGAGGGGTTGCGCTCGCCAGCGTCGTCCGTGTGGAGTCCGCCTTCTCGGTTATAACCCTAACCACTGTCTGCAGGTTGGGACGCGGACTATCCCATGCACTTCTCCATCAGTGCTAAGACGCAAAGAAAGGTCTGGTAGTAGAGTGTTGGGTCGACAGAGTACTATTATTAATAATAGTCGTTGTACGTGAGACACTACGACGTATGACGCCTTCCTGACCGCGTCAGACGCGTCAAAACCAAATACGCCAAAGCATTTCGCCGGGAAACAGCCACTCTGTGAGCCAGTAGGTGTTTCTGCAAGAGTCCGCATCGCGGTAAAGTGCTGGCTTTGTTACAACGGATAGGTTTAGTCTTGCGACGTGGTGTTTAGCCGGTTGTTTGTCTGGTATACTGCTGGAGAAGACGACTCTTGATGTCGTCGAGGGTCAAGATATCGGGGTCGCCAATGCACGGAAAGAGCTTTGGATCGCGCGCACTCCGTCGGTGCCGAACGCGGCGAATGGCCGCTTCGAGCTCTGGGTGGGCATCCCAAATTGCGTCTTCGTCCCGATCGCTCACGGCTTCAAACTGCAGCATCTCCGCGCTAATCTATTTCCACGCAACGTGAGCCCGCATCTTAACCTCTCAACCGACCACGTGGTAGAACCCAACGAGAGACCACGTCCGGTCGAAGGCTGCGTGGCGCTTCCCGACCGCCTTGAGGCCGACTGCGAGAATCGACTCTTCGACGAAACTCGTGAGCGGCGCGTCCGTAAACTGCGACAGCATGTGCGTCGAGTCGGCGAGCGGCGGCGGGCAAAAGTGCTCGAGCTGCGACGACGAGAGCGAGCCAAAGTCGTGCTCGTGGTCCGAGACCGAAACGCGGCTGAGGCTCTTGAGCAGATGCGACTCGGACGCGTGAAATGCCGAGACAGACAAGCAATTGAGCTCCAAGGGCGCCGCGACAACCACCGCATCGGCGCTACGCCCGCATACTATGAGACACACGGCGACGTCAGCAGCGTATACCGAAACGGCGTTGGGCGCACAAGGCCCGGGCTCCTCTCTGTGGGCGACGGCGGCGAAGGAACTAAGGGCACGTGTGAGCTATCTCGACTACGATAGCGTGCGTACAGATGGCAGGGTACTGCATGAGCATGCGGAGGAGGCAGTCGGTGCTGTGCTCTGCGAGATGCCGTGGGCCGTCGTGACGCACCTTGCACACGGGGCACTCGTACACGCTGGCGGCAACGCGGGTCCACTGCACTTGAGACAGAATGCCGTGGGCGGTGGCGGCCCACTGCACCACGGCCGTTGGCTTGGCCGCGCGAAAGTGGTGCACAACGTCCATCGGCGTCTCGGCTCGCTCGACGTGGGCAGTCTTGAGTGGTGACGCGGCGGGCGACGGTGACGCGCTCGAGAAGGCGACCGTGGCCTCGCTGTCGTTGGAGGCGCGCGAGACTTCTTCCGACGCCATCTCGACGTCGTCTGCGTGCACGAGTCGTCGCGGTGGCGGGGCACTTCGTTTCTATCGATCGTATTCTCTAAGTTTGTAAACAGTGTATGTGACCGTAATGCGTACGACTTGCTTGGAGAGGACTTGGGTTGCGTTCGAGAGGGCGGGACAGACGCGCATCGGGACAGGCGAGACGTACGACACTTGGACGCGGAATTTCTGCGGAATTTTGGTGGAATCATTCGTAAAGAGAGGCGTACCTGGTTTTGGTGGCGACTCGAGATGTCGTTGATGCGGAGCTTCATGGTCGTCGACGTGGCGTTCGCTTCAGGAAAGGCGCCTTCCTTCAAGTCCAAGATGCGCTGGTCGCGGACTTCGGTGCTATTGCGTGGCATGGTGAAGCATTGTCGAGTCGCTGCCGCCAGCGAACGCACCCGTTCTCGTAGAGCAGCTTGACCGTAAAGTAGCCCTTGCTCTCGAGCGGAACGTATGCGTCCGGCACGCCCTGCGTCAGGCCGACTTGGATCGCAAAGGTCGTCTGCCGGCCCTTCTGATCGCGGTACCACATTGCTGGCGGCTGCAATATAAACTTGACCCAGGCGACATAGTCGGTCGCGCCAGCCGAGTCGTCGCCTGGTCGCTTGGGCTCGAGCTTGATCATTTCCGTTGGCCGCTTGACGGGCTTGGCGCGCTTCTTGTTGCTCTCGCCGTCAAACGGCGCCATGTATGGGAGGCCGATGGCGTCGTTGCGTCGGCCTACATGGCGTGCATGAGCGGCCGGTCGATCGCATGCGCAGAGAAGAGACGCTTCATGTGCTTGGCGTGTAACGACGGGTCGTCGGGCCCCATCCATGGCATCTGGAGGTACGCGGCCATGGGCGTGACCTGCAGTGGCACGGTCATGGGCACATGCATCGTCATGCGCGGCCGCGTCGTCGCCGGTCGGTCTGTGTTCTCCATCGTGTTGCACCCGTCGAGAAATTGGATTTGGGCTGGAATTCTTTTCATTTTGACCAATCACAGACCCGTTCGGCGAATTTGAATTTCAAAGTGTCGACCTGGTGCTCGACAAGATTGTGCAAAAGCTAAGGACCATACACACACAACTGACGTCGTAGCTGGATATCTGGTTGCTATAAATCTGGTCGCCAGAAATCTGGTTGCAAGGACTCTGGTGCGCGCAGAGTCCGTCGTCGTCGTCAGGAGCGTGCAGACAGTCACTCTCGGCCCTTGGCAAGTTGCCTTCAATCTTGTCTTTTAGAAGTGGTCCATCTCGGCGATGTATTCATTTACACTCGCTCACCTCTCATGCCCGCACAGAGAGAGTCTGTCAATGACATTGTCGCTCAAGTTCAAGGCGAGGCTAAATGAAAGAGGTCATCTTATGTTCTGAGGGAATTGTCAGTACTGCTAGTAAGGATATTGCTTGAAAATTCTCTTTAAACAGTCCTAGCTACTTTGCAATCAAAGCCAAAAGATCCGAGCAGAGCCAAGATGCCCAAGTACGTCCAGTTCGCGCCGACGACGACGGCGCGGGAGTACGCGCTTGGGTTCGTCGATGGCGTCGTTCCATTCTCGGGCGCCGGCATCGGCTTTGCGGGCTACGAGTACGTCGAGGTCACGCGGCCGCTGGTCGCGCAGGCGGAGCGACGGCCCCACGCGCTCGCCGACACGCAGAAGGTCCAGCGCGTCTACGACCAGCCAATGCTGCCGCTGGCCGACGTGGCTACGATCGTACGTCTCATGGTCGCGTCCGAGACAAGCCGCGCTCAGCGCGCCTGCACAAACCGGTCCATGGACGATCGATCGACTCTTCGCGTGGACCGAGAACCCGGGCAAGAGAACTGGCCGTCCAATCGTGTGCGCCAGGCGACGCTCGCGGTCTGCCTCCGCGCTTCCTCGCCAGAGACGGAGACAACATCGAAGAAGCGGAAGGCTTCCACCGACGAGACACGTCTCGCGAAGCGGCCAAAGCTCGCCGAGGCCGATGCGAGCTATCGCTGCGCGATCCAGTAGCGTCTCAACCCATCCATCCCAAGCGTTCAAGTGCATGCTTCTTCCGATCGCCCTTAGCCTGTCCGTTCCGACGAAGACATGCATACGGAACGTCTTGCATCTTTCATTACATGTGCTCAAGCGCAAGACCAAACGCTGTCACGCCAATGTCGGCGCACACGAAGCACTTTTCGATCGAGAAGACGTCGGTGACGCACTCGGGCGTCTCGAGCGCCTTGAGCCGCAGGCTCGACTCCATGTCGATCCAGACGGGCGCACCGCCCGACGCTGCCTGAACGCGCTCGAGCATGCTGCGGATGTTGTTGGGGCCAATGCCGCCAGCGTACCCGCATGGAATGTTGGACAGTGGCTTGGGAAAGTCCGTCATGGGCACGCCAAGGCCGCACGACGCATCAAAGAGGAGGCTCATGTTGGCGGGCGGCGCCGCAACGAGCGGTTCCCAAATAGCCTTGGTCTCGGTGTTGCATTGGATAATCCACTCGACCTGCGGCACGCGCGCCATGCAGCGGCGAATGTTGGCGCCGTACTCGTCCATGCGACCGGCCTCGACAAGCACGCGGTTGGCAGCGGTGGCGTTCACTTGCACGCGGTGGAAGCCCAAGGCGTAGAGCTCCTCGACGAAGGACGCATCGCCTCCCAAGATGGCTTGGCAGCGCGACCCGCAGAGATGGCCCGCTAGCTTCATTGGCGTCGCTCGGGCGCACGCTGCAAGCTGGTGCACCCAGCTGCTGGTCGCATAGCGCGGGCTGCCTTCGAGGTCGGGGCGGAAGAGCACGCCCCACTCGATCCACGGGTAGTGCAATGAGAGCGTCTGGAGGAGCTTCGGGTGCACCGAGTCGTCTGCGCCGCAAAAGCCCATCGCGCGGAGGCTCAGGGACGTCGTCATCGTTCTTGCCAGCGTCCAAGTGTTTTCGCCAATCCGCCGCTAGTTGGACTGTGATTGGCTGTTTTTCAACTTGAAGTTGCACACAGAACTGGGTTTGAGATCTTCCAGCAACTTGCACATTCTGCGCCCACGTAAGACGACCCAACTCGTAGTCGCGCAATTTAGCCGCATCATGCCAGCACGCGCGACTGATCGCGGCTCTGTCCCGAGGACGCCATGCGACGTGACCGGTGTCAGGTGGTAGGCAAGCGTCCAGAAGGATCATGAGGAAAATTCCCTCGCACCAAAGGCAGAGCACGAAGAGCAAACGCCTTGCCATGGAAAATACATTATGGTGACCGTCACTTTCTATCGGTCCGAGTCGGTCGGCGGCGACTCGAGGAAGAACAACGAGAGCTCATGCAGCACGAGCAGCGACGCCTCGCACGTCCCGACCGGCGTCACGGTCTTGTGCGTCGCCAGCAGCAGTCGATTCAGCCAGCTTTGCAAACCTACGCACAGCGTAAGATCACCTACCCGAGAGCGCAAATACGTACCAGCTTGGCGCTTTCGGATGAGGGTCGTGTGCCAGCACGAGACAGTGTCCCACGCGCGTGGCCATCGGCTGGGAAACCGCGTCGCTTTGAGAGCGCGATGCAGGTCCTTGCAGTAGTCGCACACGTGGCGATGGTCGCTTGATGCAGTGATCTCGAGCAAGCGTCGTCGCAAGCCAAAGCAGTCGCTATAGCGTCGGCGGAGCTGGTACTGGGGCGCGACGCACTGCTGGAAGGATCCCACCGAGCCCAGCTGCGGCAGCGCGTAGAAGACGTCGAGAATGTAATAGACCGTCGACCGCGCTCTTTGCCCAGGCTCGAGCGCGATCGTCGAGATCGCCACGGACTGGAGGTACCCGAGTGCCCGCGCCTGCTTGCACCACAGAGGCACGTGCGTTCGCATGACGTAGTCTGTCGAGTCTTGCGACGACGTTCTACTGCGCGTGAGGCGGCTGCGCTCGATTTCGAGTGTGCTTTCGCTGCCGGGGCGAGAGATGTAGCTGTCGGCGTCGTAGCTCACTTCGTCGTCGTCTTCAAAGTCGTCCTCGGCGTTGTCGCTGCCCATTGTCAAAGTGAAATGCAATTGTGGTAGTAGCGGCGTCGGTGTGTTACTGCCGGTCTCGGTCGCGCCAGTTCGACAGGACTCACGTCAGAACTTCACCCAACGCGTCGCCTGCGATCAGCATTGCAAAACGACCAAATCGAAGCTTTCGAGTAGCTTGACCTGCTGTTGCGAGCGCATATCGCCAGCCACGTCAGAAGCATTGCACGCGTTCTTGGCGCCGCGAAAAGGACTCGACGGCACGAACAGTACTTGGCGCCAATCGCAGCGAGTCTTTGCCCCCAGCTTGGTTCGCAGAAGGCCCCGCGGATCTCATCCTGTGCGTGGGCCTCGTCGGCATCTCCGTCGTCGCTGCGAAGCGCAATGAGGCTGGAGAAATAGCAACTTCGACACATATGCCACCGGTCTTTGCTGAACCACAGCTGTCCTCCTCCACACCGAAGGCGGTTGATCGCTGACAACACTCCCGTCTTTGGTCTTTGGCTAACACGGCTATTTTCTAACCGTGCATATGGTTTCCTTAAATAATCAAAAGGATAGGGCAAATACAAGACAATAGTGTCCACATAACACAGTTTCCGCCTATCTTAACACTGGCTTGCTCGTGTTACAGACTGTATTATAATTCTCACCATTGCCCTTGGGTAGCAAATGATATGTGCATGATTTTTACTATTGGATACAAAAAGCAAGCTTTTTAGGTAAAACACGTATTTAATTGTATGTGGCGCGGTATGGACGTGCAAAAAAGCATGCCAATCATCTGCCAGCTGCAGCCAGTTGGTCGGTCGGATGATTGTGCCAGAACCAGATATGGAGACGACGACGCGGAAGGCCACGTTCTCGCAGGGCAGCGCGGTCGTCGTGAACGGCCGCCACCAGCACCTGCACAGCGTCTCGTTCGTGCCCCAGTCGCCGCGCGCCGTCGTCGTCTTCCTCCCGTCGACCGGCGAGAGCTGCGGCCGGTATGCGAGTCTCTTCAAGTTCCTCGCCAGCCACCAGATCGCAGTCTTCGCTCTCGAACAGAGCCCGGTCATTGACGACACACTCGTCGACAACTCGCTCTACAAGCACCCGAACCCCGAGCTCAACGTCGAGCGCATCTCAGCCAACGCCGCCGAGCGCCCAGCACCCAGCGCCTGCTGTGTCCAAAAGTACGTTGACGACGTCCACCACTTTGTACGGGGCATTGCGCGCCGGCTGGGCGACGCCGACGTCGACTACTTTCTCTGCGGCGTCTTCTATGGCGGGCTTATGGCCGCGCACACGGCGATCGAAGCAGGGTTTCCGTGGCGCGGGCTCATCATGACGTCGCCCGACCTCTCGGGCCCGATTGGGTACCTCGAGTCGATCACGACCAACTTGTCGGCCAATCTCGAGAAGGTGCGTGCGCTCATGCCCCGCCGGCCGTCGTTTGCCATGTTCCGCCAAAAGCGTACGTCCGGGATACGACACTCCGTTTACTAATTAGTGTCTCTTGTAGTGATGCCCAAGCAACTCGACCACATGGGCAACAACTTTTCGTTCATTAGCGACCCGACGACGTCGCCCGGCGAGACGGACGAGGATTTCGAGACGGACGACATGCACTTGAACGCGGCGCGGGAGCTTGACCACCGCAAGACGAGCTTGAAGCTGCCCGTGCTCATCCTCAACGGCAAGGCCGACGCCAAAAAGCCGCGCATCAAAGCCGACCGCTTCGTGCGCCAGATCGGTGCCAAAGACAAGACCGTGACCGAGTTCAAGGAGCTCTACAACAGCCTCGGCGGTGATGCGCCAGAGGTGAATACCGCCGTATACGAGTGGATCGTGAGCTACCTTCCGACGGCCATGACGCCCCAGGACGATGCACCGGGTCGCCCGTCGACACCTATGGTGGGTGCGCCGTCAGCGGAGGTCGAGGCAAAGGGCAGTCCCCCGGTCGAGCCCAAGCACGAAGAGACGCATGAAGAAAAGATCTTTGTGGCGGCGGCGACAGCGACAGCCGCGGTGACCACCGAGGCACTTGTCGCGGCCGCGAAAACCGCCGAGCCCGAAATCGTGACGCGATCGACGCGGCTACCGTCGATCGCCGAAGCGACGGCGACGGCGTAATCAAAGCTGGCTTGAGTAGCGACAACGACTAGATAATGAATGAATGGACAACGTGCTTAAGAATGGATGCGGGATATTTCAACTGGTTCTTGTACTACGACTAGACGACGACGTCGGGGATTTCTAAAAAGGTGACCAGCAGTCGCATCACAGTGCAGAAGCCGTGGCAGCGCGACTCAAACTGTCCAGGATGCGCCCGCGCCACCGAGATAATCGTCGTGAGCCACGCCTCGAGCTGGGCCTGGCGCAGCGTGACCCAGTACGGTCCTCGGTGCGGAAACAGCGTGTCGTCGAGAACCGAGAGCACTTGGTAGCAGTAGACGCAGCTGCTTCCGCACGCCAAGACAACGCGCGTGAGCTCGGCGCAGAGTTTGAAGAACTCGGAGAAGCGCCGGTGCACGATGTACTCCGTGACCGCGTATGCGTCGACGCGGGACCGCCGGGCGCCGCGACTCGTTGGCTTGGCGCTGGCGACCGCGAGGTGCGCGAGCGACGTGCGGAGACACACGTGCAGCGCGTACTCGACAACAACGCCGGGGCAGGGCAGTAGCACCAGCGTCGGCGCCACCTTGCCAGCGCACGCCGGCCGCTTGAGCGTCACGTGGTCGATGTGGTTGAGCGCGTTCGCGTGCTTGGACCAAGACGCGAGGCCGCTGAGCTGGTGCTGCAGAGGCATGTTGCTCGACCAGCTTTCTTGTTGATTCTACAGCCTCGTTGATGACGAACTTGGACGCAAAAAGACGCAAAAGTTGAAGTTTGGGCGCATACGTTAGCGGCGCTATGGTCATCGGTGGCACCTCCGTTTAGTGTGCGCTCGCGACGATCTTCTTGCATCGCGCAGCAGCGCAGCGCGGCGAAGCACTTGCTCGCCGCTTGGAAAAGACCTGCGAGGATCCCAGGCTACAGTTCGTCATGCTGGCTGTCACGACGACTGATGGATAAAGTGCAGTGACTTTGATTCGAGCGGTGTGGCATCGATCTGACGCAATGCTGGAGGACCACAGAGGTGGCAAGAAGGCGTCGGGTGGCCAGTAAACGAAATTACCATAGTCCTCTAACTCGCTTCAAGGACACAAGGAAGCTCGCGGCGGCTGCTTCAAAGTAGTCTCAGATATTAAGGTCTTTGGGGCTGTTTTGGAAAGGGTCTGGCCTGCGCTTATGCTTGGACCGCCATTGTCGAGTTGCTGCGTATGCACGTGTCGTAGGTCCAAGCCGTCAACCACGGAGGCCAGGTCGATCGACGACACTGTGCACAAACAACAGACTACAAGTTTCCCAAACGCAACTTGTCTTGCGGACCGTACGTTGTCGTACATGGTACACGACGAGTACTGTGCCCGTACGGTACATGCAGTCTACAGCCGTGCGCTGGAGTGCCCTCGCTGCAAGTTGCAGCAGCAGCAGCAGCAGCCCACGTCAAGGATCCAGTGCGAAACGTCGCGTAGGAGCATGACGATCAGGTGCGCTCGCAGCTTGGTCCAGAGGGTCTGAATGGCCGCATCTTCAACGCCGTGGGCACCAGCCACGGCGTATCTTTTTGCTTTGCTTGTGCGGTCGTGTGCATTCCAAAGTACCTGGGAGGATTCGGAGCATGGCAAGCTGACGGCACGAGCCCAGCTCATTGGTGAAGCTTCTGGATCATTGGGCCTCCACCGAGCTCTTGATCCCATCGTTCTCGACGACGACGCGGGCCCAAAACAACGACGTGCAAATGAGAGCAGAAAAATGGTGTCCGTCGCACATGTCGCGATACCCGATAGCATGGGTGCTTCCCGCAATGCAAACAGGCCTGAGTTGGGCTGTGAAGTAGTAGCACCGGATCTGGGTGGCTGCCTTTCCTTCTCTTTGGCGAGCGGGCTAAGGATAAGCAGCTCGCGTGCTATCGAATGGATGGCCCACTCTTCCCAGTGGCCCAGGTTGTCCGTTCTAAGAGCGGAGCACGCTTTTATGCCAAGTCCGGCCGTCTTTGTGCCACCAAGGACGCAGACCAGTCGTCGACACCGTGCCCCGAAGTTGTGGTGTACATATTCACTAGACTTAATTAATTAATTGTTCATATTATAGAGCCGTCTTCCTTGGACGGAGGCGTCGAGGTTACGACGACGGCGACGAGCTAATGACGGCGAGCGTCGACGAGAAGGCGTTCTGATACTGCGCGAGGAGCTTTTGCTGCGCGTACGTGAGGTTGGTGTCGGGCGTGAGTGGCTGGTCAAAGTCCTTGGGGTCCAGCGATCCCAGCGCGAGCGCGACCGTTATGTCGTGGCCAATGTAGACGTGGAAGGGGGACGAGGCGTCAAAGAGCGCAGCGTTCGAGACGTCGTAGCGCGTGCCGTTGAAGATAATCCATGGCCCGTTCTGCGTCGTGAGGCACGGGCGCAGCGTGACGGGGAAGGGTCGTTTGGCGCCGAAGCCCAGTGGGCACTTGGGCGCGCCGTCGCTGCCTTGGGGCGAAGTCGAAGATTTGTCGAGGACCGTGCGCACGGTAGAAGTCCATTTCGCATCGCGGTACATATCGGCCATGATCCCAACAATTGGAAACTGCAGTCCGAACGTTGCGAGCCAGGAGCAGAGCGTAGCTACTTGGGCAGCTGAGAGCGTGTCTTTGTCAACTTCTTTGTCGAGTGTGGCCTCAATATCACCTGCCACGTTTCGTTGACGCGCATTCGCATTATCCGTGGTGCGCAGGCAACCGGAAAACACCAGCGTCGCGTCATGCCCGCCAATGTCGCCAAACGTTCCGTCCGCGCCGACGAAGCCGTCGAGGCTGGCCGTGTCAAAGACGACGCCGCAGAGCGACACCCACGTGGGCTGCGACCGAAGCTCGGCGACACTGATCCGGCGCGAACTCACGCCGTGACACCGCTTCGAAGAGTAGTTGTAGCACACGTAGCAGAGCCCGGCGACGGCCGCCAAAGACACTGCTGCCGCCTTCATCCTGCTCGTTCGTTCTGGGAACACTATCTGGGAATGGGCAAACAAGGTTCCGATATTCGGCCTGTCTGGTTGCACCACATTGAAGCTCGTGCGACCACAGTTGGCGACGGCGCGTTGACGTCCACGGTAGTGCGTTGCGCCCACGATCTTGATTACAGAACGTTGCAGACACTGCGGCGCACGGATCGGGCGCATGGCGGGCCACGCTGCACGCATCGCAGCCCAGACCGCGGCGAAACTGCGTGGAATTAGCCATTTGGAAGGCTAGGACAAGTCCCAATTGGGCCGAATGGATGGAGATCTCTGCGATCGTCCATAGCTATCGCCCACCACCCAAGACTCCTCGAGGCGCCCAAGACATCGTCCCAAGAGAAAGCGAGCGGCGTTGAAGAAGCTATCCGAGACGTGTCTTCAGAGGTGGTTTGCTTTGCCGTGCTAGAGTGGCGCGGCGGTCTTCACGTTATAACACATGTTGGCGGTCGGTAAAAAAAGGATTCGACTTGTAGCACGCACCTCAACAAGGGATGGACAAAGGGGTGCTCAAGAAATGTGTGTTTGACGGCAAGGCCAGTCGTCTCCTGCTTGCAGTGTGCCGTATGCCATGGCAATCTCCGATGGGGTGATCGCTTGGTAAGTATCAACGCCGCCGTAGCACGTCGGGGCGAGGAATTGCGTGCGGGTAGCCGCACCCACAACGCGATTGATGCGGCGCGTTTTTGTGTTATAACGGACAACAGAGCGACGTGGAGGCAAGTTCAAGCTGGGACACGATCGAGCTGCTCGGGTGTCTTCTTTCAATTTGCAAACCTGCATAGAAAGGGAGTTCGTGGAGCGAAGCTACGCTGCAGCTTCTTTATTTCAGGTACCGTCAATGCACTGTACATAATTGGGTAGCCAAGCGCGATCCCGTCGACTACATGGCGGCGGCCCGCCTGCAGAATGGTACCGTGGCACACTTGGTGATGACACATTATCGGACGACGCCGTGCAGGCAAGCGACGCAGTTGGCGGGTTGCCACACCCATCGACTTCAGGATCTTGTTACTACCGATACATACAGATAGCGCAATCCAGCGCCGCGCTTTGTCCACAGCGCATCCACACAGCAGCACGATTTAAGCTTGCACCACGCCCTTGGATCGCCTTGGCTTTCGACGGGCTCACAAAGCTCTTGGCTGGGGTTGCGTGTGAATAGTCGCATCGAAACCAGGACATGTCCGAATTCATCCGTCGTCACAGCGTGGTGACAAACTTCCGACGCCGATGCTTCGAACCGTAGCGACGTTGCTCACGAACGGTGGCGTCCCGCGCGCCTTGGGCGTGCGCGAGCGCGTGGCGAAGCGCTTCCAAGGCAAGACGGTCGACGCTCTTCTGGCCGATGGCATCATCGCGCCGGCGTCGCTCGGCCAGTCACTCAACATTGTCTTCGCATCATGCTCGCCGACCTCGGACCACGACGTCGACCTGCGCGAGTTCGTCGAAGGAGCCCGCCACGCAGTGCATACAAGTGTACAGCACATGTTTAGCAAGTCCATGGTCCAGTGCCAGCTCGATCGCACGACGCCGTCCGAGGAGGCCAATGCGTTCCTCATGGCCGCGTGCGCGCCGCCGCTGTACCAAAAGCTGCTCGATAAGAAGTCGCACTCGGTGACGCCGACGCAATATGCAGTGCCACAGCGCGTCAAGAAGTGTGCGATTGTGTCGGCCAAGTACACGCAAGAGCCTGATGAGGACGAAGTGCTCAAGTTCACGGTAGCGAGCGACCTGGTGTGCGTCATGAAGCCACTGTCAGAAGACCCACCGAGTAGTAGCGAGACCAACAAGACACTCGACGACAAGACGGTCGAGGTCGCTGTCACAGCCACGTTTCGAACAAACATCGTACCGAGCGGGAACCTCGACTGGATCCTCGAGAACGTTCGCATGGCCAAGCTACCCGTGTCGGCATCCTAGTGCTTGGCCACGAGAGACTTTACTTGAAGTAGAAGCGTATTGCAAATCTCTACACCGCGCTTGGCTCTGTGCCCATTGGTATAAAAGATCACAAATCGTTGCCGTACGATCGTGCCGCCCACCGCTTGCGAAAGTTGTCGATGAGACTTTCGACTCGTCACGAGCTGTCATCAATCAGAAGCCCACTAAGTGAGGCTGTAGCTCAAACCTAGCACGCTTCTAGAGTCCAGTTCTTTGGTGTCCGGCACGCTGACCAGGTCGAGCCGCAAAAAAAACTCCGAGCCGACCTGATCGGTACGGAAAGACGCACCAAGTTGCGTGTGCATATCCTTGCCCGACAACAGAGCGACCAAGGCCAAGGTGGCTGAACGTAACGTTAGCGACGTCGCGTGCACCACGATAGCTTGACGGCCGATGCATCGCACCTTGAATGGTGCCCCAGCCATCGCCTCGAAGGGCGTGGGCGAAGTTCCATGGCTTCGAAATTCGACGCAAAGACACGCAAGCATGGCGGACAGTAGCGACGAGTGCTACGTCGACCTCTCGGCCGCGATGGACGCCGCAATAAACAAGATGTGGCAGTCGTACGACCCGAACAACAACGGGTTCCTCAACCGAGACGAGGCCCGCGAGCTCCTCATCTCGACGCTCAAGGAGATGGACGTGCCCGGCGACCTCTTGAGCGACGACGCGTTCGATGCGATCTTCAACGAGTTCGACACGGACGCCAACGGCACCATCTCCAAGGATGCGATCGTGGCCTTCTTTAGCACCTTTATGGACTTTGCCCATAACGAGTAACAACAATTGCACCGCCGTTTCGACGTTCTGTGCTATAATAGCGTACTATGGCGCTAGTCAAGATCAGTCCGTTTGCCTTTGCGCCGTCGCACGTCGTCGTGCCCATTGGCAGCACCGTGACGTGGGTGCATGCCAACCCGCTCGCGCCGCTGCATTCCATCACGAGGTACCGGTACATGGTGCGGCACATACAGAGAGATGCGAGACGTTGCGTAGCGTCGATGGCAGCGCCGACTCGCCCGAGCTGGCACTCGGGCATAGCTTTCACCGCGTCTTCCACGCCGCCGGCACGTTCCACTACTACTGCTACCGCTACTCGTTCATGGAGGCGTCGGTGACGGTCGTCGATGCCGCGCCGCGCGTACCGACACCGCCGCCAATGATGCTCGCGACGTCCGAGCCCAAACTCATGACGACCCACGACGCGTTCGTCCATGCTGCCTCTTTGAACCAAACCACGGTCCTCGCTCGATGGTTGAGGCGCGAACTCGTTCTCGGAAGCTTGACTTGGCTTAGGATTGAGAAGGGACTGGCCGTTGATGCCGATGATTCCGAGGGTCAAAAGGCGCTATGCATGGCCGCCCGCCACCAGTCTCTCGACGCCATGCAGCTTTTGCTGGCACATGGCGCGAGCGTGCATGCAACACAGAGCTCCGGGGTCCTAACTTCATATGCATAGCTCGGTGCTGATGCTAGGACGTACTTCGTAGGGCCAAACCGCGCTGCACTGTGCTTGCACCTGGGGACGCCAGTTGGCCGTCGAGCTCCTCCTCACCCACGGCGCGCGTGTCGACAGCTGCGATGCGTCGGTACGGACGAATACGCTCGTATTTTCGTCACGTCTCGAGCGTAGAAGCAAACGCCACTGCACTGTGCGAGCAGGAATGGGCACGTCGACGTCGTGCTTTGCCTCTTGCGAGCGGGCGCGGACCCACACGTGGCAGACGAGGTTACTCTTTGCCGATTCATCTCTAGCCTCACGCAAAGTAGTTGGGGCACACACCGCTCCAAGTTGCCACCGACTGGAAGCGCTTGGACGTGCTTGAAGCGCTCACACGTACACGACTACGAAAGATTGGGAGTCGTATGTAATTATGCCTGGCTGCTAGACTACGTGTCGACCACGTATCGGACCGCCATGGCGCGCAAACTCGAGCTCGCCATGGCCTATGTGCGCTACGAACTGCCTCGTGGCGTGCGCGACACCGTCTCCGAGTACTTGAGCTAGAAGGGGGTGTAAATATAGCTTTTGCAACTTGATGCGATGTCTCGTCCCTGCAGCGAGAAGAGGACCATTGACGCACTCACAAGCTTGGACGTGGCGTCGGCGCCGCCGCTCTCAGTGCTCGTAGGCCACCATCGTCGCCGGAGGCCCTCCTTTCACATGCATGTAGCAACACGCGTCCGTCTTTAGCACATGCGACATCCCTCCGTCGCTCTCGCTGGTGGCTTCGAATAGATCGCTCCGTACTCACTATTGCGCGCGCTTAGGACGACGCATTGCACCTCCTGCACACGAGCCAGAGTCTAGTGCGGTGCGGCGAGGCCCAAACCCTTGCCCTATAGAACGCGATGCTAGGTGGCTTCTCAACGACCGGCAGCACTTGCGCAGCTGCAACAAACGTGCAGCTATGACGCGGCCAAAGCTCGAAGTCCATGTCGATCTGCGTAGGGCTCAAGCAGCAGCTCGAAGCATCGACCTCCTCCGCTGCGATCGTGCGCCGGCAGTCGGCACCCAACTTTATGGCGACAAGTTCCGCCGCCAAGGTCGCCGTGGTCCGCGTCCAAACGCTCGTGCGAGGCTTCCTCGTACGTCTGGCACTAATAGTGTATGATGCAATATATTGGTGGAGTCGTAGGCGCGCCGGCGGTTCCAAAAGCTTCTTATCGCTCTCTTCACGGCGCCGCGCACGTAGCCAAGTTACCGTACCCGCTCCAACCGCACCTCGAGGAAGCGCCCGCGAAACTCCGTGTCGTGGAGCTTGCCTACCGTTGTACTGAGCGCTATGTAGTGGTTCGGAATGTCTACCGATGATGATCTGCGCGTCTTCCGGCGTCGGGGTGCGCACGAGGGCGTAGCCCTTGGAGCGGCCGTCCGGGCCTTGGATGACTTCGACGTGGTCCACAGTCGCCGCGGACCGCGCCACGTCCTTGACGTCTTGCCACATGGCGTCAAACGGAAGCTACATGATGCGATGAGTGCGTGGAAGCGCATTCGAGACGAACGTTGCCAATGTAGACGGTGCACATGGGCGGGTGCGAGTGGTGCCCCGCCCCTGGCCGGGCGCCAAATGGCGGCGGACCACCGCGGGCCATCGGCGGACCTCGGTGCCCTGGGCGCGGCTCGCGGTCTTCACGCACAAAAATGGGGCGATTGTCGAGCTTGGTGTCGGTGAGCATCTGAATTGCGCGCTGCGCCGCTTCCGGCGTGTCGTACTCGACGATGCCGCAGCCTTTCGAACGCCCCGTCGGCTCGAGCATGACTACCGATACATGTTCAGCATCTTTCTCGCAATCAAGGAGAAGTACCGTCGGCGTGCAGGACGTTGCCCGCCTGCTTCATGTGGTCCTTGAGGTCCTGCCACTTGACGCTCCACGAAAGGTTCCCGACGTACACGCGCGTGCCGCCGCCGGACGTCGGTGCAAACGGGTTGTTTGGTGCAAAGCCGTGCTGCGGCGGAGGCGCGAACGAGGTGGGCGGCGCGTATGGCGCCGGCGTGTGGCTGTACGACGTCTGCGGAATGTCGTAGGACGTCACGGGCGCTGCCGTGTACGAGGTCGGCGGCACATCGTACGACGTTACCGGTGCTGGTGTGTACGCCGACTGGGCGGCGAGCTGCGCCTTTGCCTCTTCGCGGTCCTCGCGGACAAAGATCTTGCGCCCGAGGAGCTCCGTGTCCGAGAGCCGCGAGATCGCGTCCATCGCCATCGCGTGCGTCGCAAAGGTCACAATGCCACAGCCCTGCACACGATACGATCAGATATGCGCTGCCACAACCAGAGAGCGCACCTTGGAGCGCCCATTGAGTTCCTGCTTGACTTCGCACTCCTCGACGTCGCCCGAAATGCGCATGTGGTTCTTCAAGATCTCCGTCTTGACATCCCACGCCAAGTTTCCCACGTACACGCGCCGACCCGTGCCCCCTGCAGTACGAGCTGCGTGACAGTGCTGCCAGGAGGCGAGTATTGTCTACCTTGGTGCGACTCGCGGGTCCGGTACGGCGCCGCCGCCGCCGCATGGGCTGCGCGGTGCTTCGGGTAGCCGCGGATCTTGCCTGCCCCGGACGGGCTGCCATGGTCGCCCATCGGCGCCAAGTGGGCCTCCGCATGCTGCATCATCATCCTGTTTCTGTGTGGTCCTTTCCAACACCAGTGTTTCGCCTCCGGGAAATAGCCGGACTTCGCCTCGTCGCTCATTGGCTGAAATCGTATCCGAGAAATACACGTCATACAAAAATCAAGTTATCTTGGAGTCGCGACCTCGAAGCTTAACGCTGGCGCCCAATCAGCGCTGCGAGCTAGAATCGGCATATGCCTTCCAAAATGGTTTTGACCGCCCAAAGACGCCAAATAGAGGGCTTGGCGGGTGGAGGCACCCACATGCAGAGTCACCGTCCAAGCCTGTCATTTGCACAACGCGGTTTTGGCGGCGTAGATGCACTTGTCGAACAGTAGACCAGCGCTCCAATCCCATGGTATTTCTCCTTGACACTATATGTGGCATATGCCCAATTTAGGGAAGAAACGCCGAATTTGCCGACCTGGTCACTCAGAAAAGATCCAAGGCCGATCACCATGCACTGGACCATACCCGTGGTCATCTTGGGCATAGTATGGCTTCCACGGGCCACGACGGCGTCGCCGCCCGAGCTCTTTGCCCTGGATGGCAATGGAGACCCCGTCGCTTGGTGGGTCGTGCTAAAGCTTCCGTCCATGGTTCGCGATGCGTCCGGCGCGTACGTCGCCACGCCCTGCGACTGCGCGTCGCCCGTGTGCTCGCGCGAAGTCGATCCCAATCGTCGACATGGTCTGTGCTACCTCTATGCAGATGCAAACCGACCACAGCTGCAACACTTTCGCGCGCTGGGCTACGACTGCCTGGGTCAAGGCGGCCGCGATCCGGTGAGCCAAACCTTGCGGCAGCGAGCGAACGCGACGCATTGGGCGTACTTTAACGACCAGCTCAACGGCATTGCGCTCAAGCAGGACAAGTCGCTCGTCTGCAGCGGACACGCCGCGTTCAACGCCCACAGCAAAGGGCTCGTCGCGTTCGAGGCCACGAGCGGCGGCTTTGTGCTGCAAACATCGACGCCCAACTTTCCCGACCCGACGCCTTCGCCTGACTTTGAGCGCCTGGGCTGCCAGCACGACAACAACGTCGAGTATGCGCAGCATCTTTTCGCCGTCTCGGTCGGCGACGCGGCCCTCGCGACGATTGCGTCCGGCTGGCGCGCGGCACGGCTGTGCTCAGCGAACCATTACCACGCCATCGGCAACCTTCTCGTGAGCCCGTCGCTTCGAAACGTATCGACGCTCTCAGGCACGGCGCGTGCTGTAGCGTCCGTCATGGTGGACCCGCATTTACCAGTGCAGCCGTCTCAGCAGGTGCAGGTGGCTACAAAAGGCAACCAGAGCGTCGCCGTGCACGGGCTCTTTAAGAGTCGGACAGCCGAGGTGCCGCCGTGGGCTTTGGTTGCAACGGCCTTTGCCACGGACGTGAGTGTCGCGTCGTGGTGGGACGAAAACTACGGCACCCCGACGCTCTGCGACGGCGACAGCTATGGCGCCGCAGCCCACGCGTTTTGCTTGCGCCCTACGGAATCACCGGTGGCGCTGCGACCTGACGGCACATTCCCGTTCAACGTCGAGAACCTCATGGACGCCAGGTATCGTCTGCGGCTACGTGCTGTGTAAGGCAATCGCTATGATAGCTGGACGCTGCCGACCGGTCGCGTGACGTGGTCACTTCGCGGCGGGCGCGTTCGGGACGGCAACCACGGTATAACGTCTCGTGTCAAGCGTCACGCTAACGAGGGGTACGTGTCTAGCCAAGTGGGGCATTGCGACGCCGCGTCATTTGAGGGAAGCCACGTTGTCCATTTTTGGCGATCTCAACATGGAAGGGTTTCCATGCTCGTCGTCGTGCGCGGGGTCCCAAGGTGGCCGCGGTGGCACCTTCTTCGCCCTCGCCAACCGTGAGCTCCACGCCAGCCTCACCGCGCTCGTGACCAACGTCTGTGGCTGCGGTGTATCTCCTGCGATGTCGATGACGTATGTCGATCGTCGGCTGTGCGGTCATGGGTGCACCAAGAGGCTGCATGCCTCAGAGCAATTGCCCGGCGTCGGCAACTCGACCACGTCCTACTGGCCTCGCACAGAAACGAACGTCGTCGCCTTGGCCTGACGCCGCCCGCAAATGACGCCTGAATATAGTTTTTTTAAGGGGTCTTAGGTGGCTCCATCACTGCTGGATATGATTTGCACCTTTGGTACATGCAAAGCAGTCTAGTAAGCACGGCAGCATGCCTGCCGTTGTGTTTCGTGTGCGACTTACGAGGAGAGATCCAAGCCAATCTCGAGGGTGAGTGCTGCCAGATAGGACAGTCAAGACGGCTCGTCGCAGTTGAACGAACGCGCGACGAGCTGTTGCCGAGTTGCTTGTGGCGTTGTGCTTGGTCATGATACTGACGTGTTCTTATCCGGATGGGTCGGTCAAATGTTGGTCGACACACACTCAGGTTCCCGGTGGCACAGCATGGTCGACGCACTCGCCGACGTCGCGCGCTGGTACCGGTCGCAGAAGCTCCCAGGAACGTCATCGCCCGTGAGCTCTGACACGCGGCTGCACCGCATTCTTCAGCTCGACGCCACAAGAGCCTACCTTCGCACCAAGATTGAGGCGCTAACGTCTGCACTTGCCAGTGCGTGGCGCTCGTCTTACACTTGCTCGTAGACGCCACGACCACGGGTGCGTAAGCCTCGAGGCCGCGCTGTACATTGAGCTGCTCGACCCAGCGGATCCCCGGCTAGCGCACGTTGTCGTTGACCGCATGGACACTGGTGCGTTCTGTGATTAACCGGTTTTCGCGACGTTTCGTCTTGGATAGAGCAAAGCAAGATGGCAATGGAGCGCTTCGCATTCAATGTCTCGATGGCAGCGCAACTACGCGCCTTCAAGAAGACGCAAGCTACGCGTGCGCGAATCGACGCAACGTCCGTGGCGACAGTGGATGCCAAGGATCTGTCCTACGACCAATTCCTAGCCGGTCTCCCCAAAGACATTCTACGACTAGCGGCTCAGGTGGACGGTATCCTTAGAGTACGCTTTGCCCAAACGACCTGTGGTTCTTCGTGGCGGCGCCCATCTTGTCTTGACGAAAAAGGTCTCGCAATGCACGATCCACAAGTGACAACAGCGCCAGAAGTAGATGTGGAGTCTGGCGTCGCTTGGCGCCAACGCCGCCGTCGCCTCCAAGCCAATGCCAACAAAGCGCTACGTACACGACTCGGTGCAGTGGGCGCGGCTCGAGGACGGGCCTACGATGCCGCTTGGTGCGTTCGTCGACGGGTTGGAGAAGAGCGATCTGTACGTCCACGACCACTCGGTACCGCTGCACCTTCCAGGTATGTACTCGCCGACTGTGTATTCGTGCATATTACTGAACGTGGATAGAGCTTGTGGAGGACGTTGCGATTCCTGCGATCTTTGCCCACGACTATCTCCAACGCTTGCCAGAGTACCCCGCATGACTGTCCATACGGCAAAACGAACACGTCGTGTAGAGGTGCGCTGTACCGAGAGACGTGGCCGAGTCTCTTTGTCGGACCCAAGAACACGGCGAGTCAGCTCCACATCGACTCGTTTGGCTCCAACTTTTGGATGGCGCTGCTCGACGGACGCAAACAGTGGATCCTCGTGGACCCGCGCGATATGCATTTGCTGCGCCCTCGACGGTACCCCGGTCTCCACGATGTTGTGTTTGACGTGGCCTTGCCTACCACAGCTGACGACGATCCCTTTTGGTACGCCTGGATATGCGCATAAGATCTTAGATGCGGTGATGAGGTATGCTCGTCGGGAAGAGTGCGTCTTGGAGGCCGGCGACCTTCTCTTTGTACCGACGGGAACGCCCCACTACGTGCGCAACCTCACAGCCACGCTCGCTCTCTCGGCCAACTACATTGACCGCAGCAATGCAGAAGTAGCGGTCGACGCACTGACGCGCCAGGTATCTACCACGCGGCCATACGAGCTCGCATCTCGCGCTACACATAGGCAAGCACGGATCCACGCGCGGGCGACGTTGCGCGCCATGTTGCGCAGTGCATGCGCGGGCCACAACCCGCCGCACACGCCACACAAAGCGTCCCGTTTGCCACCTTCAAGTCTCCGATGCAAGCACCCGATGATGCGCCGCCAGCCGCCAAGCGGCGTAGACTCGACGCCGAGTTCCTCGCCGACTGGAGCAGCGACGACGAGGCTCCTAGCGACGACGGCGCAGCGCTTCCGCAGCGCTAAGGTCGTGCAGCTGGAGGCGCAGGCTTGGTCTTGTGGCCGGCAGCGACCAGCTGGTTGCAGCTCCCGTTTCAATCCAACAACAGCGTCCGGTTAAAAAATAAACTTGGCATTTGTATGGTTGGACCTCTGCGTCCTCTAGCGATGTTCGAAATTCACTGCGTTCGAAGGGCGTGGGATTCATCATTTGACGATGTCGACGCGGACCATCGAAGCGCACAAGTACCTCAAGAAGTCGCCGTCACAGGGCCTTCAGGAGCTCGAGGCCGGCGCCACTCGGCCCACGTCCGCCAAGTCGGCCAAGGACCTCGGGCCCGACGTGGTCCCGGCGACGTCCAAGCCCCGACCCAACCAATGCCGCGTCATCATGGGTATGATCACGGGCAGCTACATCAACATCTTGCTCCTCGTCATGCCCTTTGCCGTCTACTCGTACTACGACAACTGGGGCGACATTCCAGTCTTCGTGCTCAACTTCCTCGCCATGATGCCACTGGCCAACCTCTTGGGCGAGGCGACCGAGACGCTCGCCGAGCACTGCGGCGACATGATTGGCGGCCTCGTTAACGCGACCTTTGGCAACGCTGTCGAAGTCATCATTGCCATCTTTGCGCTGCGTGAAGGCGAAATCGGGCTCGTGCAGTCGTCGCTCATTGGCTCGATGCTCTCCAACCTGCTTCTCGTGCTCGGCTGCTGCTTCATTGCGGGCCATCTTGGCGGCGCCAAAGAGTCCATGTACTGCGGGTCGTCGGCGTCGACCAACATGTCTCTTCTCTTCGTCACGAGCTTTGCCATGCTTGTCCCGTCGTACTACCAGCACAGCCATGCGGGTGAGATTGCCAAGAACGGGACGTTGACCGCGGCCGAAAAGGTCAAGCAAATCGAGGAGCGCGACAAGGCAGTTCTCAGCCTCTCGCACATCTCGGCGATCTTCCTCATCGCCATGTACATCCAGCTCATGATCTTCCAGCTCTACACGCACCGCCCGTCGAACGAGAAGAAGAAGAACGACGACGACAACGGCGAGAATGGCGAACGCACCGAAGACGAGGACGAGAACGAGCCCGAGCTCTCGGTGTGGGGCAGCGTGCTGCTGCTTGGCGTCTCGACGGCGCTTGTGGCCGTGCTCTCGGAGTTTCTCGTCTCGTCCGTCGACGGCTTTACGGAAAAGGCCGACATCCCCAAGTCCTTTGTGGGCATCATCCTGCTGCCGATCGTCGGCAACGCCGTCGAGCACCTCACGGCCGTCAAGGTTGCGCTCAAGAACAACATGGAGCTCGCCATGGGTGTCGCCGTCGGATCGGCCACTCAGATCTCGCTCTTCGTCGTGCCCGTCTGCGTCGTTGCGGGCTGGATCATGGGCCAGCCCATGACGCTCGCCTTCCCGACCTTCGAAGCGCTCTCGTACATCATCTCGGTCGTCGTGGTGTACGCCATCGTCGTCGACGGCAAGTCCAACTGGCTCGAGGGCTCGATGCTCCTCACGCTCTACTTTCTCATCGGTGTTGCCTTGCTTGAAATCCAAATCTAACAAGATATGGATCTTGGGTGTTGGTCTCGATGTGACATGCCCAATGTATTCATTACCGGTACCTTAGTTTTTCAATCGATGTCGGCAGACTATGGCTTGTGGAAGCGCAGCCTGTGTCCTCGCGATAGACCATCCGCGAGAGCTATTGGTGAGCAAGCTGTGATGCCTTGCGATCACCGTGAAGCGTCTTGATTCTGGAGCTATCGAGATCTTGGTTCCGATACGACTCCAAAACGGCATTGGTCCACACCTTCCACATGAGCTTGGATAGCCGCTGACCACCGCTTTTTCATTGATGTGAATGACAGATGCATATAAGCGGTGATATGCTTGCCGCTCCTCCATCCCAAAACATTGTAGTTTGTTGCCCAATTTTGATCCCAGCACCAGCAGGTTGAAGGCGCCTGGATAGATACATGCTGTGTAATTGGAGGTAGGTGCAACAGGTGGCGACAGCGCCAAGATTCGTTTCGACTCGGGATTGCAGCCCCAGAAAAGAGTGGTCATGGTCGTAAGCCGCAGCAAGTGCCACGTGGATCGTACGGCGTGAGCAGCCATGCAGTTGGCGGGTTCACCAAGTGCCACGTTTGCGTATCCAAAGCACTGCGGCGCTATGAGCCCAGGATTGCGTAGGAAGCGCTGCTTGACACATATCTCCTGGGACATTCAATCACGTTTCGATGGCCGGCTTGATAGAGGCGCGCGACTTGATCATAAGTTATTGAGCGAAGTGCCACGACCTGTTGAGTCGAGTGGTGGGGGACCGACGATCAACTGCGCACCCATTCCGCTCTGCAAATGCATCCAGGATGCGACGCCATGATGAGCACGCAGGTGCGTGTGTCCATGATCATAAAATCCTGTCTCTGGCTTTGCCAATTTGGCAACTGTCCAAAGGCGGTTGCTGCAATCTACTCTAGTCTTTCTACGACTAGAACGAGGACAACGACTAGAATGCGACTGGGCGCGTGTCGCTTGGCGACCAGACTCGAACGCGCATGTCTTGGCGCCCTCCTCGTGGCTGCGAGGCAGGCCAGCACCAATTTATTAGTAACCTTTCCCGCCTCACAATCCAAGTGACCAACGCGACGCCGCGAGGTGATTGGTGGATACTTCCGGATAAAGACTGTATATCCGGTGTTGAAAGATTCACGGGGGTTTCCTCCTGCGTTTCCTCCGCTCATTTTGAGTTTCAGATGATTCTAAACAAGGCAAAAGAAGAGCTGCGCCGGTCGCCCCCGCCCCAGCACGACCACGAGCTCTCGTACCCCCAGCGCAGGCTGAGCACGAAGGAGAGCCTCCCGCTCATCTCGCCGGCGCCGACGGCCCGCGCCATGGGCTCGGAGCTCGCGACCAACCTCTCGTCCTGGCTCACCGAGTCGTACATCAACACGCTCCTGCTCTTTGTACCCTTTGGCGTCTGGTCGTACTATGCCAACTGGAACCCAGCGTGGGTCTTCACCTTCAACTTCCTAGCCATGATCCCGCTCGCGCGCACGATCGGCGATGCCACCGAGGCCGTCGCTTTCCACGCCGGCGACACGATCGGCGGCCTTGTGAACGCGACCTTTGGCAACGCCGTCGAGGTCATCATCGCTATCTTTGCACTGCGCGATGGTCAAATCGCCGTCGTGCAGTCGTCGCTTCTTGGCTCGATCTTGTCCAACCTCTTGCTCGTGCTGGGCTGCTGCTTCATCGCTGGCGGTACCGCCGTAAAGGAGAGCAAGTTTAACGACACTTCGGCGTCGGCCAACTCGTCGCTTCTCATGGTCTCTTGCTTTGCGATGCTCGTGCCATCGTACTACCAGTTTACGAGCTACACGGACACGACGTACTCGACTGAGCAGACCGTACTGCACCTCTCGCACATCTCGGCCGTCTTCTTGCTCCTCATGTACCTGCAGCTGCTCTACTTCCAGCTCAGTACGCACGCCCATTTGTTCAACGCTGCCGAGGCCATGGACGCCGACGAAGACGAAGAGGAGCCCATGTCGATGCGCTCGGGCCTCCTCGTGCTGGCCGTCGCGACGGTCGGTGTCTCGATCCTCTCGCAGTTCCTCGTCGACTCGATCGACGGCTTTGTTTCGTCTACACAGATCAGCAAGTCGTTTGTGGGCATCATCATCCTCCCGATCGTCGGCAACGCCGTCGAGCACATTACGGCGGTTCGCGTCGCGCTCAAGGACCGCATGGAGCTGGCCATGGGCGTGGCTGTCGGGTCGGCAACCCAGATCTCGCTCTTCGTCGTGCCGGTCACGGTCCTCGCTGGCTGGATTCTCAACCAGCCTATGACGCTCGCTTTCCCGACGTTCGAAGCCGTCACGTACGTCACGTCGATCGTCATTGTGTACGCGATCGTCGCCGACGGCCGCTCCAACTGGCTCGAGGGCTCGATGCTCCTCACCATGTATGCGCTCATCGCCGTCGCGCTCTTGTGGATCCACGTCTAGACGATCGGTCCACGTATAGACGTATTCTTAACCCCGTAGGAAACATAGTTCCAGTAGTAGCTTTCGTTGTATGGTGGCGTCGGGTATGAAGCTATGGATGCAGCTGTGCTAACTAGGTGTCTTCTGTGCGCTCGTTTGACGTAGCGCTGTCGCTGAATGCGGATGCTGCCCTTCCGACACTTCCAAGCTTTGACGCCAGTAGCAACGCAGCAATGCAGAGACTGGCAAGATAGTGCTGTTGATGACCAAGTTGGCGCTTTCCATATATTCATATTTTGAGTCGCGCTGTTTGGTGAATATGCCATATGGATCGTATCCGGATTCTCCACAACGCTTCAAGATCCCATTCACGCTCTTTCGATCTTTGGCATGGGACGCACGGACAACGACGGCGACGCCCGCCGTGTGTACGTGCTCCAGCTGCTTGCGTCCATGTGGCGGGACGTGGACGTGGACATGGGCGCTATTGACGGCGCGGACGCGCTCGGCGCCTTCCTCGACGACCCGGCCTGCAGCATGCTCGAAGCCCGGCTGGTCGACAAGGCGATTCAGCTCACGACGAACATCGTATGGGATGACACGAGCAACAACGCAACGCCAGCTCGCGCGGTCTTGCTCGTCAAGGTGTTGCCAACGCCGCTCACGGCCGAGAACCTCTCGACCAATGTGCACGTGACGTCGATGACCAACTCGCCAGTCTTTAGCCTCTTCCAGTCCGTGCACAAGATCTATACGCCGCTTCTGCTGCAAGGCGCTTCGGGCCGGCTCTCGCAGAAGCTCAAGGACGTGCTCCTCGAGCTCGATGCGGGCCTCCAGACGCTCGTCCGCGACAAGGGCGACGACGCCGGTAACAGCAACAACAGCACCGACAACCTCTTTGGTATTGTCACGCTCCAGGACGAGATCGCGTACTGGGAAGCGACGACGAGCGGCCGGGACCGCGACCGCGCGTCCAAGTTTTCGCGGTCGTTTGACGCCATCCACTCGCGCTACGCGACGTTAGAGGCGCTGAGCTTTGAGGAAATGGGCGACCTTCTCGACGACACCAACAACACGCTCGACGACCTCTGGCGCGCCGACCTCGAAGGCAGCGCGCAGTACCCCCAGGCGCGCATGGTGCACATCATCGGGCTCGTCGCCCAAGCGCTCCACAGGTCTTCTTTCCATATCTCGGCCATCTTGTATCCACAACTTCTGTAGCTTTATCATTGCGCAGGCCGGCACCGTCAACGTATGGCGCGGTCCGTTCCACGCGGTCCACACGGCGCTTTCCCAGTCGGTGGCGCTTTGCGAAAAGTGGTGCGGCCACGTGGAGCAGCTCACGGGGACCTTCTGGCCGTCCTACGACGAGCACCCGTGGCGCGGCCCAGCGCTTGCCGAAGCCTTTCTCCCGGCCCTCGGTTCGCGACTCCGCGAGATCCTGCGCCTTCGCACGACGTACGAAGAGCTCTTGTCCCTCGCAAACGAGCCGCTGCCGCCAACGGCCTTTGATGTGTTCGAGCGCGTCTACCCGCTGCACTACAACGCGTACACGGTGGGGGCGTGGAAGTCCGCCGTCGCCGCGTTCGAGACGATTCTGGCGCCCATCGAAGCCCAAGTAGGCGCGAACCTCCAAGAGCGGCTCTCGTCCGTGCTCTCCAAGCCCACGACGGCGCTTCGGTACCTCCAGCAGTACAAGCACCTCCTCACACGCCCCGCGATCGCCTCGCTCCTCGCGAGCGAGCGCGACAGCCTCCTCGGCCAGCTCCTTGCGCAACTCGATCAGATCGAATCGGATTTTGAGACGCGCGGACCCGACGAAGCGCCGAGCGGAAAGAACCTCTCGGCCAAAGTCAACTACATCGTATGGGGCAAAATGCTCGGCAACCGAGTCTCGCACCTCGTGACGCTGGCGACGACGGTGCTCAGCGACCTTCCGGGCTTTCGCGGCTTCCAAACCGCGGCCGAGACCGTGCTGACAAAGGTCAAGGGCATGCTCACCGAACACGTTCGGGCGTGGCAAGACGATGTACTTGAGAGCTTGCGGACGTCGGACCTCAAGCTCACGGGGCGGCTCATCGAGATCGACAAGAGCGGCAACCTCACGGTCAACTACAGCGAGTTCCTCGTCACGCTGCTTCGCGACGTGCGCACGCTCGTCGAGCTGAGCGACGGCCAGCCGTGGGTGCCCCCCAAGATCCTCGAGGTCGCGACCGAAGCCGAAAAGTACTACCGATTCGGCGTGACGCTCAAGAAGGTGGCCAACTTCTACAACAACATGGAGGCGCAGATCATCGACGAGCAAAAGCCGATGCTCCTGGACGCGCTCATGGCGTTCGAGGGGATCGTCAAGCGCCCCGGGAAGCTCTCGACGGCCACCACCAAGACGTCCAAGCCCAAGGCCATTGATGTGACGTGGAACAACTTGGAAGAGTGCGAAGAGTACGTTGGCATGCTCCAGCAAGCCGCGGACGCGCTCTCGATCGAAAACCGCAAGCTCCGGCGCGCCCACGACAAGATCGGCGACGACCTCGTCTTGCTCATGGACGTCGACTTGCTTCGGTTCCCCGA